TCCGATCAGATATGTCCCTCTCCCGGAGCTGCAGATTCAATGCTGTCCTTTGAAATAAATTCTTCTGGGGGAGGGGCAGGTGTCCACGTAGTAGTTGGGATTGGGGCCATCTTTCATTTTAAAGAAGATTGCACTAAACATATATATAGAATTACATATAGACAGACTTTGCAATATATATTCTAATTTATCCATTTATAAAAAGTATTGCCCAATATAAGAAAATTAATTCTATCTATATTTTAATTTAGAAATGTTTTATCACATGAAAGTAAAAGTTTGCTTTAGATAATTCAAATACGTATGCAGTAATACTTTGGGAACTGTCAGATTCAAGCCAGATTTAGAACAGGATATGGCAGGAGTAATATCATAGCTGATATCAGCAGGAGCTTGACTGAAAGATGTTTAATTGAGTTGTATTAACTATGCAAAGGCATTAATTAATTCAAGCATAATAAAACGTTGCAAAGAATGAGAATTCCAGAACACTTAGTTGTGCTCATGTGGAACCTGTACATAGATCAAGAGGCAGTTATTCAAAGATTATAAGAGGATGCTGCATGGTTTAAAATGAGGAAAGAGTTGTATCCTCCCACCATATTTAGTAAATCTATATGCTGAGCAACTAATATGAAAAGCTGAACTATGTGGAGAATAAAGCAGCATCAGCATTGGAGTAAAGTTCATTAATACACTGTGATATTCAGATGACACAATCTTCCTTGCTGAAAGTGAGTGCTTGAAGTACTAGCTGAAGAAGGTCAAAGACCATAATAGCCTTCTGTATGTATTACAAGTCAAAGAAAAGAAAAATGTACACAACTGGACCGATAGACAACATCATAATAAATGGAGAAAAGATTGGCGTTGTTAGGGATTTGGCTTTACTTGAAAACACAATCAATGTTCATGGAAGCAACAGTCAAGAAATCAAAGTATTGATTGCACTGGGCATATCTGTGCAGGACCTTATTAAAGTGCTAAAGATTAAAGATGTCAATTTGAGGACTCAGGTGTGCCAGACCCATGCCATGGTCTTTTCAGTCACCTCACAAGCATATGAAAGCTGGGCAGTGGCTAAGGAAAGCTGAAGAAAACCTGATGCATTTGAATTATGGTGTAAGTGAAGAATATTGAAAATACCATGAACTGCCAGAACATACACATCTGTCTTGAAGGAAGTACAGCCTCCTT